TGTGTGTGTGTGTGTGTGTGTGTGTGTGTGTGTGTGTGTGTGTGTGTAAAGATTGTCACAGAAGCATTCTATGTCCCTCTTTCTCAGCTGTGAGTCTGCAGTTATAAATACTATGGCAAAAGTAGCTTCCTTGCCCTTTACATTCAGAGGAAGCACAGATCATGGACTTCCACGTGGTTTCTGGAATCACCACCTGCCATGGATCTCAGCATGTTCTCCAGTGGCAGTGCAGACCATGGACATAAATACAGCCCTCTACTGCAGCACAGGTCATGGACACCATAAATCTTAATAAAATGCCTCCAGAGTCAACCAAGAGAAAAATCATTGTCATGAAGTCTAAGAGTGTGTTCTCAAACTCAGAATATCCAGATTTCATTCTTTACTAGAAAACATGGGCAACTATGGGCTTCTTTGTTTCCTTAACAGTGAAAACAGATATTGGTGCAGTTTGACAAAATGTGAAATGGTATGATTACATACATATTATAATCTGTGTTACATGTTACATAGGAATGTAGTAAAACACATTAAGAACACATTACATTTAACAGTTTTTGCAATGAAACTAATTTCCCATGATATATTTTCCTGATATATTATTACACTATCATTAGTAGACAGCCCGATTTTCTCCTTGCATACCTTCTCATTTATTGTATTAGCCACCAAAAGTCATGGTTCATCAAGTGTATCCTTAAAATCAATATCATCTCTTGTTTTCAACTACTAATTGACTTTTTCTTTATACTCTATAAGATAGAGTAAAGAAGGGAAATACTCTAACCACATCATTATCATTTTTCTCTTCATTTTAAAACTATAGATTACTTCAAATGTAAGGTATATAGGATAAAAGTACAAAACTATGACGAAAAGTTATGAGAAGTAAATAAATGAAGTATATCATATTTAAAGAATTGAAGACTCATTAGAAAGATGTCAGTCTTTCCAAACACTCTCAGTGAGTTATATAATGGTTATGGGCAAATTGAGTAGAAAATGTGTGTGTGAAGACAGAAGATTCAGACTAATAAAAGAATGACAAACTAACTAGCCGAGAGTTCTGATACTACTCTGTTTTATGGCTTACCTTAAAGCTATGCTAATCAAGGAAAAAGTCTATGTTAATAAATTAATGCAACACAGTAGAATGCAGAGATAGATCCATAGAAATGTGATCAATGGAAAAATGTCTTCCCAACAAATATGACCACAATAACTAGACAAGCACATATAATAAAATCAAAATAGAAACCCTATATACACTTAAATACTTCAAGATGAACCATAGACCAAGATGTAGAACACAAATCATTTATAGGATTTGAGAAATCTAAATTTCCTTAGTTTGACAATAAATGTTTAGGTACATTATCAAAGGAATAAAAATTCTAGTGACATTCTTAACATGGAAGCCTCGTACAAAAATCACTTCCAAATAAACCAAGTCCCTGAGTGTATGGCCTGAAACATTAAAACCATTAAAGGAAAACATAGACGAAGCATGTGACAACACACCAACATGCAAGGGCTCTCCAAATAGGACAGGACTCCAACAGCTCAGAATGCAAAAGTAGGAATTGCCACATGAGATCACATGGAATTAAAGTTTCTGTTCCACAAAGCATTGTGTCACATGCCTGAAATCCCAGAATTCAGGAGATGGAGACAAGTAAATAATTTATGGTCATTCTAAACTGACAAGATATTTAAACCAAGCTTGGGCTGAATGAAGCCCTATATCAAAAAAGCAAACACAAACCTCCCCAACAAAGAAAACAAACATCAGAGTGAAGAAAAATCCTTTCTCAGCTAAACAGAGAAAAATCTTTCCAACTAAACATCTGATATGGAATTAATACTTAGAATATATAACATGCAACAAAAACCAAAACCTCAAGTAATACAAATCTAAACACTCCCAGTGAGTGGGTAAGTAAATAGAATCAATAACTTTGAAAAGAAAGAAAGAAAGAAAGAAAGAAAGAAAGAAAGAAAGAAAGAAAGAAAGAAAAGAAAAGAAAAGAAATGGCCAATTCCTGAAGAAAAAAAAAAAAGTTCAACTTTGTTATCCAATAAGTGACTTGAGGTCCTGTACATCCTAGATCTCTTCTGAGGTAGAAGTCCCAGCATCTCTGTTCTGCCTATGTATCTCATCTGATCTGGTCCTGCAGGGTCTGTTGTTCCATGGGTGGCTTATAGGAGAGGGGGCGGCACATAGTTTCATTGTCCCAACTTTAGTGATAAGAACAGAAGACAGAAACTTCTCAGGTAAACCAGGCATGGTGGGGCACACCTGTGATCCCAGCACTCAGGAGGCAGAAGCAGTTGGATCTCTGTGAGTTCTTGGCTAGCCTTGTCTACAAAGTGAGTTCAGTACAATCAAAACTACATAGAGAAACCCTGTCTTGAAAAAGTCATCAGGGAAATGCAAATCAAAACAACCCTGAGATTTCACCTTACACCCATCAGAATGGCCAAGATGAAAAACTCAAGTGACAACACATGCTGGAGAGGTTTTGGAGAAAGGGGAACCTTTCTTCACTGCTGGTGAGAATGTAAACTTGTACAACCACTCTGGAAATCAATCTGGCCCTTTCTCAGACAACTAGGAATAGCGCTTCCTCAAGATCCAGCCATACCACTCCAAGGCATATATCCAAAAGTGGCTCAAGTACACAAAAAGGACATTTGCTCAACTATGTTTGCAGCTGCTTTATTTGTAATAGCCAGAAGCTGGAAACAGCCCAGATGCCCCTCAACTGAAGAATGGATGAAGAAATTGTGGTACATCTGTACAATGGAGTATTACTCAGCAATGAAAACTAAGAAAATCATGAAATTTGCAGGTAAATGGTGGGACCTGGAAAGGATCATCCTGAGTGAGTTTTCCCAGAAGCAAAAAGACACACATGGTATATACTCACTCATATAAACATACAACATAGGATAAACCCACTAAAATCGGTACATCTAAACAAACTAAGCAAAAGAGAGGACCCTAACTAAAACGCTCAATCCCCATCCTGAAAGGCAAAGAGGATGGACATCAGAAGAAAAAGAAAACAGGAAACAACCTAGGAACCTGCCACAGAGGGCATCTGAAAGCCTTTGCCCTGCAGACTATCAAAACAGATGCTGAGCCTGATGGCCAACTGACAGGCAGAGTGAATGGAATTTTATGTAAGAAGTGGGAAATAGCAAGAGCTGGAGAGGACAGGAACTCCACAAGGAGAGCAACAAAACAAGAAAATTTGAACACAGGGAACTTCCCAAAGACTCATACTCCAACCAAGAACTATTCATGGAGATAACCTAGAACCCCTACACAGATGTAGCCCAGGGCAGTTTAGTGTCCAAGTGGCTTACATAGTGATGGGAAGAGGGACTGCCTCTGACATAAACTAATTGGCCTGCTCTTTGATCACCTCCCC